CGCCCAAAAAAAAAAATAATTACAACAGAGATTTGGGATGACTTGGAATTATTTTTGTGTCAAAACAAATTTGAGGCTCTGCTACTTCTGGAAGGCAGCCCACTGTCATTGTTTGGGTTTATTGTCTCATCAAATCCCGTTGTGAACACAGCCACCTCTGAACCTAACAGCAAACCTGTGAACTACAACACAAATACAATTTCTTACAAAGAGAAAGCCCATTACTTCACATCAGTTTCTTAAATCAGCCTCACAGCACGAGCTCATGAAGGAAGGAGTACCATTTAGAACACCAAAAAAGTTCAGCCCTGTCCTGAGAACACTGTTTACTGCACCAGACAATTATCATCATTGTTAATTGTGTTAACAACTTTCTGCTTTCCTGTATTTCCCTGCTCAACTGCAGTCACTGGATAGCCCAAGCTCTATACTTCAAGGTATTTGGGGTAAGTACCCAGAGAGTCCTGAGACACTGAGGCATTTTGGTGATGCAAAATGGTGAATAGGAATCATGATAGGAAAAAAAAAAAAATATGTGAATTAGAAGGAAAAAAAAAAAAAAAAAGGAAGACTTGTCATTAAGGCATCCTCAGCCTCAGCTTTAATGTCATGACAGGTAAGGCCAGGATAAAATAACTTATTAACCCCAAATGCTGCAGTGTTTCCTTCCTTCTGGGGAACTGAGCTCTGCACATGTCCTGTTTGCCCCCAGGCATCTAATACGAGATCTCACTTGCAGTTGTTTTGTGAAGGTGGAAACACATGACACATTGGACTAGAGCCAATTTAGAGACATTTGAAACAGATGCCACTGGTGGTCAAAGGTTAACAACATCAATACAGTTAACGGGAGGGGAAAGGAAGCCACCAATTATTGACCAAAAAATGCACTTACTTGTAGTAGCAGATATCATGGCCTGCCCTAAGCCAGCGAGGTCTGCCCTGGAGAGCTTCCTTCACTGAATACATGACCAGCTGCATGCCTGCAGAAAATAAGACAGGTTCAAGCTACAGGACTGTCTGGAAAATACAGGGATGAGGGAGGAAAGGCTAAACATGAAACATCACTATTTTGTCTGTTCTCTCTCTGCAGGCAGTTTATTGAAAGGGAGGACCTCAAGCCACTCCGTTTACAAACAAAGGGAAATAAAATAATAGGAATTGAGATATCAACAAGATTAGTAATCTGCTTAGTCAAATATTTTATGCTTGGCTGAACCATTATTGAATACTTAATCCTACCACAGCATTAGAGACCTGCAGGGAATCTAGTACTGTACCTTCAGAAAGCAGCAAGCAAAACTTCAGAAGGTTTTAAACTTGCCATTAAACCTAAATAATACTTATGTGTCATAAATGCTGAAAATGATAGCATCCATCTTTGTACTGTATACCAGAAGATGACTTCTTCCTGGTCTCCAAAATATTACCTTTTCATGCCCCGAGGTACAAGGCTCTCTCTAATCTGAGCTCCACATACATTACTCACAGCTCCATGAAGCCAGCTCATCTGCAGCAGTTTTTGTACCAAATTCCATTGCTCTACACACCAGCCTGCTCTTTCACAGGCACGGTAGGGATCCTGCCCCCACCAGTGAAGCTCCTGCACTGGGTGTCCCTGGCAATGGGAACCTACAGGGGTGGCCTCTGCCCTGGGGTTATATCAGCTCCAGTGGACCCAGCACAGCCACAGATGATCCCAGCAACAATGCTGGCAGCACTTCTGTGAAAGTGTGTTTAAGAAAGGGAAAAACACCCTTTCAAGTATCTATGCATGTTCATATGGTGCCCCCTGAGCATTCTCTTGGCTGTTCTTGTGCTGGGAGGAGGTGATGCTTGAAATCATTAATACTGATGACATACTACCATAAGCACCTATTCAGTTTCCCTTCTTCCTTTGGGTTTCTCTGTTAAACTCTCTAGCACCTTAAGAGCTGGCAAGTGTGTCAGCAGAAGTGCCTTTCCAGCTGATCTTTGGCTGTGGTGGGGGGTAGCATTAACTAGCCTACAGCTACGAGTAACCTCTAGGTTGCTGTTTCCTGTACCAGCACCATGAGTCACGTACAAGAAGCAATTCTGTGTTTGGTTCCAGGATGTGAGCCACAGTGAGTTGAGAGAGACACAGGCCTGCCCAGGAGCCCAGTACATCAGAGAAGGGCTTTGAGGCTCAGGGTCTGCAGTGCTCTCAACACCCCAAATTTTCTCTACAAGTCCAAAGGACACACACCCCAAAGTGCCTCCAAGTGATGGTTGATACTGGTCTGACATCTCATTTTAATTAAAAAAAAAAAAATAAAAAAAAACAGTTTTTCCTTTCCACTTTCCCTATGGAAACATTCAGTTTAATAAAACAAACACAAATCAGGCTTCTGAAGAAATCTCATTATTTCCCATGGTAGAGTAAGTTGGGGGAAAAGGGGGAAAGAGAGAGGTGGAAGGCTGCACCTCCTGACTTGCTCTGCTTTTGGTCATAACTATTTAATGAAATATCCTTTTTGCCGATTTGAAAATTACACAATGCCATCTAACTAAGGGCAAAAAGGAAAGGAAAAACCAAAACAGATCGGTAACCAGGAGCTGTAAAGTATTGGCAGCCATGGCACTGTGGCACTGTATCCCAACTGGAAGCTTTTAGTATTATGGCACGGCCATTAATTAGCCCAGGAAAGCGCAGAGGGAATGTAGCAAACATCTCTTACCAACAGTCTGTGTAAATATTACGCACGTGCTGGAAGGGGTAATGAGCCTCTCTCAGCCAAGCCAGATAACCTAGAGCTTCACTGCCCTCTCAGAGCAGCAGAAGTAACCCACCGAAGAGTTGCTTTAACAGCCAATCCCACATAAAAGCCATACAAAAGCAAGCCATGGCTTAGCCTCCTTACATCAGACTGTATTTTTATGTTTTTCTTCCAAATATATTTTTTATTACAGCTTGAACATGCGAGTCATGTACAACTTCAGGTGCACAAAATGAGATTATAAATGCTGACAACTGACAAGCTAGCAGATAACAGGCAGCCTTCCACCAATAATAGCCAGAATCTCCAGCTATGAAGCTACTGGTGGCTGTATCAGAGGTTGTATATATCAGGGTTTACAGTAGGACCTTAACATCCTTCATATTCAGGCTGCTGCCATACACACCAGCACTGAACTGTTTGGTAACTCAGGGAAGCAGAATAAGATGACAAAAAAAATCATTTTTATTTGGGATCTATATGAATACTTTAACTGCAGCCCTTAGGGTTAAAGAGGAAATGCCTTATAATTCATTATGCCACTCATCCAGACAGTTTTACAAATACAAGTGACAAGTCATTACAGCTCTCAGTGCTATTTGGTTTAGGTACATTGATCCTGAGAGACTTCTCCTGGTGATGTTGAAGGCTGTATCCACAGGGCTTCAGAGGAAAGCAAATTCTGTTATTAGGGGCTTATTAAACATTCTGAGTCAGGTCTTGAGCTGGTGTAAATTAACACAGCTCCATGGAAACAAATGTCAAAACCAGCCTGTGCCAGCTAAGAATTCAACCCACAATCTCCACGTAGAAGAAATAATTTTTCTTCTAAAATAAGCATTGAAAGCTGTGATTTGCTCTGCCTATTTCTGAACAACACCGTCTTCCTCCTGAACCACAGAGTATGACACAAGGTAAAAGACAGGCAGGAAGAGAATTTTTTAATTATTATTAATATGAGCAGAAGTTTCAGCAGGTCTAAAGGCAGAGATGTCTTTCTGGATAAGGCCAAAAAATAATGAATATTTGTTTGAGGATTGTCTACATTTATTCAAATCTTAGAAGCACTTTCCAATCCTGTGCTGCTTGTTCAATTCCAACAGATGGCCTTTTTTTTCCTTCTCCCAGACCCAGTGCCATTCTTCCCCAGTCTCAATATTTAGCTTATTCGTCAGTCGTCCTGAGGATAGAGAAAGGTCCTTGACAAATCTAAAGTAACTCTTTCAGTGGATTTTGGCATAGATAAGATTAAATTTACAGTCTCCCTTATAGGTATGAAAAGTTCAAAACCTTTATGGTATTAAAAAGATTCCTGTGAACAGAAGACTATCCCAGTTCCCCAAAGACTCATACCATAATTAAACTGGCTATTCAGCTTCTCACAGTTGATAATGTTGAAGCGATAAGGAACTGCTAATTTCATGTCACGGACTTCAAAGTAGAACCACTGGTGATGCTGGTTGCTGTTGACATCTGCATTCATAATTAAGTCATACTCAAACCTGTTAAGGAAGACAAAAAAAACCCATTGTGGACATGAACATCCCACCAGTCTTCCACTGAACCTGTTGAGGAGAGCAGGCTATACAACCAAATTCATTAATATCCTATGAGTCAAAGAATGACATCAAACTAATGGTGCCCCAACACACCATTAAACACCCACACTAAGTTAGTCATGTCAAAACTTTTTAAGCTCTGCTTTCTCACTCCTGATACTTTCCTGACATCTAGGTGTAGGCAGGCATCATGAGCTCTGCATTGTAAAAACTGCTTCCCTGGCCAACCCTTCCCAAACCCAGGAGAATTCCACTATTTCATGCTGTGGTCACAGCAGAAAGGCTGGTTGGGCCACAGCTGCTGGTGTACTTACTCACGCACTTGGATGGCTTTGCGAAGGTTTCCTGATTCAAACTTGGAGAAGAATGTCAGACAGCTTGGAGCACCTGGGCTTGAGTGACTGCAGTAAATCAAAGCAAGGATACCTATAGCAAGTTGATTCAAAGACAAGTCTTCCCCAGCACTTTTCGTACACCAAAATAGCTTTTTATAATTGTTTTATATAAGCAAGACCCTGAGAAGTAGCAAGAGATAAGCAAATCCATAGGTTTCCTATCCAGTGCAGCATCCTTCTCTATTTTTGCTTAGTGATTCTAAATCACACCTTCTTTTCCTTTCCCAGTACTCCTTTTTGGCCCAGTTTATATTTATTTTCTTTTTCCAGTTCCTTTCCCCACTCAGTCGTTACCATTAGTTTATTAATTGCACAAGGCAGCTTTATACAGTTACTAAACATTTACTCTTCCCTCACCTATATAGTTTCCTTCTCCTAAAACTTTGAAACCCTTAACTGAATCTTGAAAAACTTCTCCTACCTCAGACTGTCCTTCACCTTTTTTCTTTTTTTTCTCTTTAAAGAATGTTCTTCAAGTCACTCATCCTTCCTCTGAATGCAATTTCTTCCTGTTTGGGATCCTCTCAACTGCCCTGTGCTACATCTTCTCCAAGACCACAATTGCTGGCCATGGCTGAGTACTTAAAACAGTTCACACAGTTATAAAAGGCTTCAGAAAACAAACATCTAAGTGCCACACCTTTCAGACTACATCTACAGCCTGTGACACTCGTGGCACACCTAAGTGCACTCTCAAAGGGATGCCTGTTCGGCTTGTATGCACACAGACCGCATCTGGATTCATCAGTACAATTCCCAGCACTAGCCTACACGGTTTTGTTCCAAATCGCTGCATGCAGTGCAGACAGATCCGGGGACACTCTAGAGCCACTTCTATGTGTAGTTTCTCTTGCTCTGTCTAAAAAGTTTCAAGGCTTCCTTGTTCCCTTGACTTCCACAATAAAACTCGCTGCCTGATCCCACACTGACAGTACCCCTGGTTACAGTACTCGGTTTAAGTTACCTACCTGGGCTCGTCTAAATCAAAAACAGTTCTGCCTATCACATCACCTGGCTGGATTAAGCGGCGAATATCATCTAGTACTTTGTCTCTAGGAAAAAAAAAAAAAAATAAAGAAAAATTGTAATGACACTGCAAAATCTTGGTATAGACTAGTCTTGTAGAAGAAATATGAAGAGGCTTAGCAAATTCTTTTGAAGGGCTGGTAAAAAAGAGGATTCTATGTGCTAACTTGATGTGAACTCCAATTGTAGATTTTTTTTTCTTTTTTAACCATGAGGAAGCTCATGCTCCATCCCTACTACAAGTTGCCTTTTGCATTACATGACTGATTCTGTACAATTTTTTTATTCTCTACAGTATTCTGTCAAGTTTGATTTATCCCCAGTTCTTCCCAGTCAGTCTCCAAAATGGCCAGCCTTGCCCTGTGAGGAAATATCTGCCATAACTTATAAACCTACTACCCTGTCTGACAGTGAATCTTGAACTCTAAATCAAGCTAATTTCTACTCATTATTAAACTGAAGTTCTCTGATCCCTAAAGATGATCCAATGTGGAATACCAGGTTTTCTTCCTGACCTTTCAAGCAATCATGTTATGCCCTGAAGCATGATATGATTATTCCCATTTTAGCTGTATGGTTACACATGTTATTATAGTCATAAAAGCAGAGCTTTTAGAGCAATAGTGCAAGGAGAACATAGTAGAGTGATCTTGCCTCTAAATAAGACTTTTAGCTTTTATATTTGCTGAAGAAAGAATCATTATCTCTCTAGAGATCAGAAATTAGTCGTCTTCACAAATGTCGTTTGATTAGCATTGATAAACTTTGAAGTTCAGCACAGAATCCAGCCTCTTTTGTATCTGCCAAGAATTCCCTATGCCACTAAAAAATAAAAAAGTAAAGTCACTGCACACAGCCACGCACAGAACAGACAGAATGGTAGTTATAAGAAGAGCTGCTTCTCCCAACACTGCTTCAAAACACAGCTTTCCCTTCATCTGAACACCTGAAATAATAAGAGAAGAAACCAGCAGCCTCTAGCAGCGTGGCATAGGGGACATCTGTTTTTATTTCTTTCTGTGCACTGCATGCCACGTATGTGGTCTTCTCCTAGTAGGCTGGGCAGCAGGGAGGGAAAGCAGCTTGCTTACCTTATCCCTGATGATGCTCTCTAGCTCCTGAGAGACCTCCCAGAAGCAGTCGCACACGCTTGGGAAGGAGGAGAAGATTCTAGAGGACCCCATGGAGCAAGCAGAGAGCAAGAGGAATAGCAAGATGGGACACGGCAGCAGAAGGGTAGACAGGGAGATTCCCAAGAACAACCTGACACAGACACACAGCTCAAAGGAAAGAAAGGATTTTTCCTTAAAAAGCCAGATGGGACCCTGTTGCAAACACTAACGAGGGCTGGATTACATGCAAGACGGAAGGCAAAAACAAATCCTTAAAGGACAGAGTCTTCCCCATCTCTAAAATGAACTTGTTCTCATTTGTATTCTGAAAAGGTCACAGATTCACAGCTCATTCTGGGTTTTAGTCTTCTTACTTTAAGGAAAAGCCGCCAGTAAACCTATGTCAGAGCTTTGACCAGCTTAGAGTCCCATCACATACATAGGCACATTGATACATTTATCAATAATTTAATCAAAAACAATTTGGAATATGAAGTAGGGGAGTCTATAGATTCACAGAAGCCATAAAAACCTCACTCCGAGGTTGCCACTATCACCTTCACCTATGAGACAAAGCAACTCACAGACAGCTCACAATGCATCTGCTGACACAGAGAAGGTCCCTGTCAGAGACAGGAAATAAGCCTGCTGCTTCCTAATCCTGTTTGTAATCCAGTTAGAATACATTTTCCTTTCCTTGGGAGAAAAAGCTAAATAATGCAATGGTGAGAACCTGCATAAAACAGTTTTGAGCCTGACAGCTCTCAGCATGGTAATTATGTTAAAGTACAATCACCTTTGAACCCCATACTTGCGCTCCAACATGGGCTTGCTGTAAGGAGGGGGCTGGTGACCCCAGAAATCAGGAAATGCCAAGTCTTTGTAGTCTGGTACAGACTTAACGCATTTGGCCCTAGCTACGTAGAAGCAAGGGCTGTGGAATGGGATGTCCCCTTGGTGTTTCTCCAGAAGATCTGTCACAATGTCTGAGCTCTCCAGCCTCTCTCCAGGACTACAACTGATTGAGGCCTCACGTTCAGGGTAAAACATTTTTTTGTACCAAGCAGCCCCTTTTGGGAGGGGACATAAAGTAAGTGTGTGACTCCTGGATGGATCTTCCTCTTCACAGGACCCCGCATCTTGGGCTGCTTCTGCAATATCACTCTTTTCGTTGATAGGATCCCATTTGCATTTCTCCTTCTTTGTCCAGTTCTGCAGTGGGACTCGGAAATCCTTTTCCTCTGTATCAGGTCTCATCTCTGTGACACTTTGGTTTCTGCATCTGCAGTTTGGATGTTTCACAGAAGTGGCATTTGGAATGAAATGAGAGGGAGTTGGGGGAAGGATCTCAGTCCTGTCTTCCAAGCTCTTCTCTTCCTCAGATTCAGATTCAAGCTCCTTTAAATTTAAAAAGCAGAAGAAATTTAAAAGACACTAAAGACAAATTGTGCCTCCCTCCAGAAGAAACCTTTCAAGGAAGAAAGAAAATATTTACAAATCTCCCAAAACTCTACTCATCCAATAAGACAGAGTAAAATCAGCCCATGGACCACCTGCCGGAATTTCTTTGTCCACAAAGCTGTTTCAACAGGAGTTCTCAGAAACTAAAAGAATCACACTGAGTCATCTGGGTGAGTAATCTCCAACCAAATCTGATTTTTCTAACAAATTAGGAAATATAATTAGCAAGGCTTTTTTTTTTTTTTTTAGAATAAGTGATGCAGCAAGGTAAAGGAGGCCAATCCCTCATGCAAAACTCCACCCTCGCCTTCATGCAAGTGTATAAATTAATCCCATTTGGCTGCTTGTGGTGATAATAAATGTCACAGCATTGTGTCTACAGGAGATACATTAAGCCAGTGGACCTTTCCAGATTCATATTTGAATCATGGCTTTCAGCTCTCCTAAATTCCAAGACTTGTAATGAGTGCAATACTCCATTTCTTGTCCCAAGCTGCAACGGAACAGTGATTAGAACCATGCATTTCACTCAGCAGCAGTGAAATCTTCTCTATCACTTTCTTCAAAACACTAGCTGACAGTATTTATTTTCCACATCTCATTCTGATCTTGATATTGCTGTTGAAATTGCCAGCAAGGATACAAATTATTATCTGACAGATTTCTGATGTGGTAATTGACTCAATAGAGCTTAGTTAATCCATACCCATCCAAATGTGCACCAAGCAACACCACTCCCTTTCTATCAGTCTTGATTCACACCAATAACCTATAGCAAAAGTTCTTAATCTTTGTTTTTCAGGTCCTATAAGACATCTATCTTTCCTTTTGCAATAGCCTTATCTAGTTATTTCTTGTCAGTACTCCCTTTCAAGTATTTCTTAAACTCTTGAATATTCACAAATAAAGGTATCTGCACTATGATAGCACCTGAAAATTATGGGAAAGCTCCGGACACATCGCTTCATACTGCCCAAGCTCTTCCTCTGGCCGGTCAAGCACTGGCGTTGACCTCAATTTGTTCACGTCTGTCTCCAAGTCATAATCCTAAAAAAGCAGAATTAGAACAGAGTGAGAATTAAACATGCCCCTCAAGATGACTGTTAAAGTAATATTCTGCATAATATCTTTGATTTCTAATGACACCATACTCATTAAATGAGTCCTATAACTGTTCTTCCCATACTCACGAAGGCTGTTAAAGTCATTTTATGGAATGGAAATTAGAAGCACAAGAGAAAAGACTACATGATGAAAAAGGGGAATTTGATGATTTGGTATTTGAATATTTAAGTAGAGATACCATGAACCTTTTTATAAGCACCTCAGCTTGGGAGGCTTCAAAATAAGCTACACCAACAGCTATTTCTGAGCATATTGGCCATTCCCTTGCTTATGTTATGTAAACCTGTAGGCATAGGTTCTTAAAATCTAATTGGTAATATTCTGATTCAAAGAAACAATAATCAAATAAATGTATATTTAGCAAGAAAATTCTCAAAGTGTATGAAAGGCAAAATTGTTCTAACTGACTATCAGCAAAATTAGAAGGCTTGATATTTCTGTTTTTGATTTAGACAACCACGTGGTTTCTCTGAGTGCCTACCAGTCAAACAGAAAAGCTCACATCTGTATCATTGAACCTGCAGGCACCAATTGCTTATATTTTATTTTTACCTCTCAATGCTGCTTATAAAAATCTGTGAAACTCTTGCTCAATCCATCTCCTATATTCTCCAAATTTCTTGACATTTTTAAAGAAAAAGTTTTTTAGATCTCCACTATCAGCAAATCAGGGATAAGAACCATGTCTGAAATTTTCACAGTCGAAGGCAACTGCACATTGATGTGCAACCTCCTCTATACCAGATAGAAGAACTGAAACCAACTCTGTCAGACATTCAGCCGTTGCATAATAAACTAGAAAAAGATGGGGCAAGAGGGAAGGATGGAGACCTGCCATAATGCAGAAGTGTCCATAACATTTCAAACCCTGAGCCAGACTTGTTTTGCAAAGCAGAGTTTGAACTGTTCTTTGGGTGTAGTTGGAAAGGCAATGAAGAGCTGCACAAAGTATTCGAGGTCAGCTTAAAAGGATTTGCCACTAACAGCGTAATGATGCATAAGCAGCTTCAAACTTACTGAAGATCTGGGTTGAGAAGGATAGATGGCTGATTTGATTATTTTGATTTTCATTGAACTGTCTGATCAGTTACTGATGGAAGCATAGAGCCAAATTTCAGTTTGGTTGGTATTACTAGTATGCGTAGACACGCATTACGTAGCTGTGAAAATGCTTGTAAATCACATCAGTACCAGGAAATATTGTGCAAGTGCTATCTCATACAAAAAAAGGTAAACTGAAAGTTCATTATCCATTCCCTGCTTGCTTTGCCTTTAGAAAGATTTGTCATGGGAGATATATGACCAGCACACCAGACAAACAGTACTTAAAACTCATACTCAGAGCAAGCTCTTAGGCGATAAAACCTCTGCTCACATCTACTTGGTAAATCCTTATGAATAATGAAGTAGTTCAGAGGCATATAGGATATGTTTCTGAATGAATCACTAATTAAAGGAGGAGATAAATTCACTACGAACTTTATTCCTAATGAGCATTTTGACAAGCTCTAATATTCAGATGAAAACAGCCAGGCAGGGGCAAGTTAGGACACTGAGCTAATGTGAGGTTTGGTTTGGTGTTTTTGTTTTTTTTTTTAAACTTCCTTTTTTCGTTGGGTGACATCAGTTTAATACTTGGGGAGAAAAAGACAGGACAAGTAATGAAAACATCCTTCCACAGAAGTCTCAATCGTATCTAATTAGACTGTATTTGCAACTTCATTTCTTTAACTTGCCTTCCTAACCCACTTTATGTGGATAAGAATTATTAGCAGCATTCACTACTTCACATTTGTGTATGTGCTTGTACGTATTTTCACAACAAACAACTTTGCACTCTCATCCTCAGCTGTTAGGCTGTTTTTGGTTTGTTTCTGCCAGGTAGGTCATGAGAGAGAGAGTGCAAAGGGAGAAGTCAGAAAAGCCTTGAATAATTCATTATATTATTCATCTGTGTGCAGCAGCAAATAAAGAAGGAATCTAGGTTCAAAAGGCCCAGCTGTGGCTTAAAGAACTAATGCTTTCCTTAGGGTAGATGCACAGCCCAAATATGCTCTGATATGGGAAGGAAAAGAGGGTAAGTCTTCCTAGGTGAGAACTTATTTTTCCCCTATGAAGTGTCAATTCTGGTCCACGCACAGGGGAATCAAATATCCACAACTTATCCCTGACCATGCGTGTGATTCTCATAGTCACTGGTCAGTCTCACTGCAGGAACAGAGAAGTCACCAAACCCACACCATCCGTAGCGACAAGCACGGCAATTAATAAAATGAACACGGGGAACTCTTCAATAAAATTCAGTGCTACCTCTTTTTCTTTTTTCAAGTATCCTTCTATTATTCTATTATTCATGGTGTGTATTTATGTGGGATAACATGCATACCTACATTCTGTGCTTAGACAGCTTATCAGGATGTTAAAATAGACAATGAACAGTTTTCCTTTCCAGTATGTGGATGATTAAGGAAACTACAGCTCATATACCTACTTCCTCCTTACTCTCCACATCCTCGTTATCCAGGTCTTTTTCAGCCTCTTCCTCTTCATCACTTTCATAGTTACCTGCAGAAGTAAAAAAGTGGTAGAAACAAAGATACCTAATATCCCTCCCAAGCTCCCCACAGAAACATGGACAATTTCTTCTGTGTGTGCCACACACGCCTTCAACTTCAAACACCACAACCCTGATTAAAACAGATCCCATTTGTTAATCTAGTATAAATGAATTTAGCACTAAATCTCCCACTTTTAAAGCTCTGTTCTCTTGGACTGAAGCACTGCCTTTCAAAACCATGACAAATGTCACCATGATATGGATCCAACTCACATTACAAAGCAGTACAGAGATTTTCTGCTTGGCTGAAATGATATTACAGGATGCTTTTAATCTATATTATCTAGATTAGGGTGTTTTACTGCTATCACCATTATAATATTTGAGCATCTTCCATGTGAAACTGAAAGCAAGAGTGAAATTGCTTGTGTGTACCACGGAGTCCACCCTTTCTCCTTTTCTGTGGAGTGGCTGCTCTGCCTGTGCTTTAAGCTCTGCTTTTCAGCAAGTGCTCACATCTTTTACTCATGCAGCATGACTGTTATCTGCTTTTATTTTAGAAAGAAAACAGGATAATACTTCCTGCAATTCTTTACTGGAAAAGCTACAGGGCAGCATTCCCCTCTCAAACAGTCATGCACAGGCACAATCGTCTCTCCCTCTGTTGTGGGGCAATGGCATCTCCAGCCTCTGCCATGTCACCCTGTTCCTTTTCTTTTTGTTTTTTTTGTACAATAGAAGGATTTCTTTTTTCTTTGCACTTTTTCATCTTCTCTTATTCTCCAAACTTCAAAAAGACTTGGGAGAAGTTTCATCTCTGCTGAGCAACACCGTAGGCCATCAGGTTAATTTTAGCTGCAAACATCAGGACTAGGCTGCCAATACTCCCTTCCCCAGATCCCACACTTAATTCCCCCATTAAGCTCCTTTTCTTCCTACTGAACTCACCCTTCAGACATTTACCTTCAGATACCTCACATGGAGGTTCAGCCTTGGCATTCCCAGGAAGAGGGAAGGAATAGGAGCTTCTTACTGTCGTCACAGGGAGAGGCTCCTTGGGGTAGCACTTTCTCAGAATCTGAGTCGCAGTGGTTACGATAGGATCCAGATTTCTGCAAGACAGACAGTCCTAGGAACCAAAGGAGAACAACGTTAAGATTTGCCCCTTACAATTGTCCTGCCTGTTACACACAATCCCCCAGAGCAGAGGCGCTCTTCTGATTGGAATATGAAATCTTCCTATTTATGGGTTGGGTTATTTTCTGCTTCCCCCTTCTTTGTTCTTCTACCTCCTTTTTACCATTAAAGAAATATGTCTGGAACAGCAAGATCTCGAGTTCTTGCAGTCAGTTTCTTACAGAAGTACAGGCTAGCATAGACCTCAGAGGACTTCCACTGATGTATGTCATTCAGACAACACAGCAGCTCCTAGCTCTGCCCTAAAACATTATAGTCAGGGTATATTGAAGGAAGGTATGATAGCAGCATAAACTAAACTATCCTAGCTAACACAGTTAACTAGCACTGAAAAGGTATGTTCATTAATGCAGTTTTTAAAAATCCTGCAGGGAATCCATGCATATGTTTTGACTGCCAACATATGCCAAAATCTGTGCTTCTGCATCTTCATGCAAGTACACCCAGAGCTATCATGCCAAGACTAACACAGGTAAACCAGCACAGATACACCATTATTTCACTGTACTCAGGGTACACAACGTATACTCAAAGAGAACATTCCCACTGTACTCTATTCTATATGGTTGTGCATTAGGCCCAATAGTTAGTCTGAAAGATCACTACATACTACCTAGTTATAAAATCTTGAATTCCTGCAGTATCCCACATTTTCTACTTCTGTAATCCAGAATAGGAAATAGAAGTGTAAGGAGCTATGAGAGTCCAGAGGTACCTTGAAGACACAGAATATTGCTGTATTTTCATTACTACGCTATGCAAGTGAACCTTTGGTCTTTTGCTGCAAAGAGAATCCCCTCTCCCCCACCCCTAAATAAAAGCAAAGACCCCCTGGGAGGTCATAGTAGGTGTAAGTCTTCAATACAACAGACAGGGAGTCCGGATAAGCAAACTACATCTGCCACACCAAGGTGAAGTTGTTCAAAACCAATAGGTACAATGCTCAGAAAACCAAGCCATCAGATTCCCCCAAGAACAGCACATCTATACCACAGCTTCCATCAGAGAGATTGACTAATTCATGTCATATGCTACCTAAGTTCATAAGTTGTACCGTGCCTATCAGCATGTTATCTCTAGTGGCTTGGGACTAAGACTTAGCTCACTGGAACAGGAATGCAAGTCAAATAAGCAGCATAAATGTTCTATAGGGCAAAAGAGGAATATTAGAATACATTCTTATACTGTTTAACACTTCTGCATCCCTTCAGCACAGACAAAATGGAACAGCCCAGAGGGCAGAATAGATACTTCGTGCCATTATCTGACAGCCCCCAGTGAGGATTTGGGCCGGTCAAAAAAAACAAAAAAATATTCAACAGAACCATGAAGATGACCAAAGAACACAAAAGTACTTTATTATAATCAGGAACAGGAAAATGGCTGTACTGGGGCTTTTTGGTTGCACAGGATTTTATTCTGTTTTCTTGGGTATGATTGAATAGTATTATAAGATTCAGTGGGATTAACCAGGATTCCTGTAGGGAGGCTAGAAAAATCATCTAAAGCTGACACGCTTACAAGAATCTTAATATGTATTTCTAGATCTCAGGCTGCTAGGAACAAGAGGAGAGAAAAGACAATTTGGAAAGCATCTCCAAGGAAAGTTTTATTGCGTTTAGAGCAAACACCAAGGAGAAATTATTTTTATTTCCCATTTTTCAATTTATTCACTCTTTCACATGGTGTTTGGGTGCCTTTGTTTGCTTGTTATTAAAGGAAAAATAAGAAAATTTTGTCTACATGTGGGAACAGAATAACATTCTTGAACAGTCATATTATAGTTTACTGGAACTGTTCTGTTTTTACTAGAGCAGTGAACATAGGACTGTATAAATGCCTGCCTTGGGCCAGACGTCTTAATTCACTATCTCAATTCACTCAGAAAGAGCAAGGCACGTTCATCCAGACAATGAACTTCCACACACAGAGTTATTCAGTGATGTTGTTTGAAAGTCATAGTTTTCTTTAGAACAAATTATCTTACAAGTGCAAATAAGCCTTCCAATACCTTACAGGGAACTTGTGGGACTGTTTTCACTACCGTTCATAAAGTGCTCTCAGCTTCCAAGATAACACAGTTTACAGATGGCTGAAAAATTTTCCATGACTGTGCTGGAAAAGCCTTTTTCACTGACACTTGAAACAGACAGGAGACTGCTTGGGATGTGTGTAAACTATCCCATACATTTTCTAGTGGGATATTGGGAGTGAGGGAAGAGAGTGAATCCTCAGCTCAGAAACCCATGTAAAACTAACCTGAATTCAGGGGATCTGCTTTTTAGCCTCCCCACTCAATCTGGTCTCTACTGAATCTGGAATAGTCCAGATATTATAATGTGTATGTGACATATACAAAAAAAAGGAGGTTCCAATATGACAGTAAGGCAAAAGTTAATGATGCTAACGGATGCTACTACTGGGAAACAGAGCAGAGTATAGGAAAATATTGCCCTACAGAAGACCCTAGTACAGGAAGGTTGAAGAGACACCAGGTAAGCTGAAGAAGTCAGATAGACAAAAGACAAAATAGCGTTCCATGCACCAGTCTCTCCTAAAGCAGATACAAACCTGTTTTCTTGTCTCGGAGTAGGCAGCTCTCTGTCACTGCACACAAAGCCAGCCAGTTGCTAATGTGAACATACCATTTAACTGCCATGAAACTGCCATGAAAGCCTAAGCAGAGCTTGGAAAAAGAAATGGGAGCAGAAAGTGCTTCCTTTTCATGCATGACTTCATTATCTAAAATTATTTTTCATTCCAAGTAGGAATGAAACTCAAAATATCTCTAAGTTCTCCTCAAATAAAGTAGCAGTCATTTATAATCTGTGTAAGGAGACAGTCTTCGAACTATTGGCTCTTCCTGTAAAGACATAGGCTTAAGGGTTATTAGAAGCTCAGGTATTTCAGCTGTCCGTCAGCCCATACAATAAGTAGCTGGAGAAGTTTCAATTGAAAACAAGCCTTGTAAATAGGAGTTCCACTGGAGTTTGTTTAAACCAACCTATCTTGGCAAAACTGTTTCAATTTCAATTGATTAAAAAAAATTTGAAAAGTTTCAGAAGAAGTTTTCTGGCCATCTTTTAACACATTAAAAATCTCATTAGCTGCTCAGAGTTTGGTCAAGGCTAATCACTAGAGCCAGCAAATTCCTGAAGACACTAAAATACCATCTACACACAAAGAGCCATTGCTTCCCCAAGCAGGAGTTGTTTGTCTTGCCCTGACTCCCTCTTACTACAGCCTGCAGTTCCTCTCAGGAGAAGGTATTTCCCATTTTCTGTCTATTATGAAGATTTTAGTAGCAGCAGCAGCCTCTACCTCAGATCAGAGTAGGGAAGAGAATGAGCAATACCTCCTAGGGCTGCCAGACTCCTCCTGACACCTCATGTCTTGGAGAGACATTGTAAGACTGACGATATCCCAAAGAAGAAGTGAGGGAACATTGAGATTTGACTTGATTAACCTTGGTAATTTCTCTTTCAACATCTCCCTAGTAGCTCACAGTAGGAAAAACACAAACTGGAGGCCCCTGAAGCTGTCATTTCCGCTCCACTTCTAACCTTTGGAAGGATTAGAGTTATCAGTGTTCACTGGAGTCTTAGTGTGTCATTTCCTGTTTGTTTACCCAAGGTGACCCCATGTTTGCACTTTCCATGGGGTTGCTCCCAGGCTGAGCTATCAGGAGATGTTAGCTCAGAAAGCTACATGGGCTGTAGAAGGCTCTTGAGAGGGAATGAACTGACATCTACCCTCAAGCAGCTCTTGCCATCCAGCCTGCTCAAGTTTCTGCAGACCAGGGACTTGCATTAACAGAGGCCATACTCTCTTGAAAGATCTGCTGGTCCTGGCCACCTCCTGCCACCTAAAAAATCGGCCAATTCCTCATGAGGAAAATCAAGTGAAAAGCACTCTACCAGTCTACCATCTACTGAAATATCTTTCAGTCACAGGAGAATCATTCATAACAGTGATGGGAAAGGTGAAGAAGCAAACACACTGGATAATAAGGCAGGGGATTTTCTGGAGGACAGGTTTTTAATTCTGTTTGTGATGGTGCTAGAATGAGACAATGCACTGGCCCGTAGGAATAGCAATGGGAATGCTCCATGTGGAATTGCATAGGTCAAGAACCAAAGGTTTCTCCATAAGTGACTTCTCCAAAGAAGGCTAAGGAAGCATGTTGGTGAGAGATTCTGATGAAACCATTACTGTTCTGTACCTGCCCTTTCTACACCTGTCAGGGATCCCATCCTCAGGTCCACGTCATCTTTCTTTGTGGACCCACATTAATGTTTCACAAGATTAAAGCTGTGCCTCCTGAAAAACAGTTGATGGATGTTTCTCACTAGCCTGGCTAAACCAACACTTGTTTTTGTGGAAAAAACTCGTAGGGTAGAATTATCCACCTGGATACCTGACAGGAAACATCTCATGAAAACACAAAAGCAACACTTCTGTGAACACACTGCTCTGTTCTTTGGGAGAGAAAGTCCAAGCAGACAGCAGGATCCACAGGGGAGGAGAAAAAAAAAAATAGTTAAAAAGCCTGAACTACAATTCCCACAAGACTCAGTAGGAATTAAAATTAATTTTTAGAATTAGTTTTAAACTGAAGCATTTCAGCTTTTATGAAGTACTAACTATGAAAAAGTCAACAGTTTTAAACATTTTTTTTTTCATTTATATGTTATATAAATTAAAGATAAGACTATGGACTTTCCTCCACTGTGAGGCAGAACCCAGCACTAACTACCAATCCATCTCACTTAAGCACAAAAGCACCATTTACCTGTACACTTGTGAAGAGAATCTCCATACCCCGGGAACCAAGGAAAGTCTCCCTGCCCAGCTGGATGTTGGTGATGTGCTTTAAACAGATCAGGAGACCCCTACGAATATAAATGTAGTTGTTGGAGACATCCTTGTGGTGCCAGTCTTGATAGAGTCTCAGCAATCCACCCAGGTAGCCTCTGTTCACTGCCCGTCGGCTGTTAGACTCTGAAAATGAAGAGAAAAGGCTGAATTAAACTCTTTCCACTACTCACATTGTTTGATAACCACGTGCCTACTCAGTGCTCAAACTCAGACTTTAGCACCTGCTCATTCTTGCTTAATGGTCACAGTTCAAAAAAAAATTTAATTTTTTATAATCCAGAATGTTATTTGCTAAGCATATTCTATGCTCTTGGAATTGAATATGAAAAAAAATAAAGCAGTCTCTCTCCCATCTAAGTGGAAATGGTTCCTCTAGAGTCATGCAGATGAACCAAACTGTGGGTAGGGAAACCACATCTCCTTCCAAGTGCTAATAAACTTGAGACCCTGAAACTAAGGCAGCTCCTGAGGAGCAATAAAAACTAAAAAACAATAAGATCAGTTCATGGCAGGTCATACAATCTTCACATAGTGCTGTACTTCAGTCCTGAGAGACCACCTTGCTGAGATCAACAAATCCAGAAGCCTTGTAGGTGTACAATCCTGTCACAGCTAGCAAAATTATGTTTAATTTTTAAATGTGTTCCCACACACACCTGTATAACAAAAGCCATGCATCAGATTATTCTGGAAACCCTCAGTATTTAAAAATGAACATGAGCAACAGCAGCTTGGGCTCTTTTCTATAGCTTTCTGGTTCTGCAGTTTTAAAGGTCACATTCAGTTCGTGTTTAAAGGCTTTACTACATGGTCAAGAAAATAAACATTTTTTTAAAAATAAGCTCTATAAAAATATAAAAGGAAAGCTGCAATATTTCCTTAATCATGTAGCTCCAGGATATCAGACTAAAAGGGGAAGATTATAAAACTTGTAATAAAAAACAAATTCTGCTGAGTATTCTAAAAAAAAAAAAAAAAAACCAACCAAAACCATCACCCACTATTTTCATGAAGTCATAGCAGACTCCAAGATCCTTCCCTTCAAACCAACCCTGCCTAAACATATTTTCCTGACTGATCCTGACATTCCTCGCTGTGACACACATTAGAAGCTGTCAGGAGCTCAGCAGTCAACCAAGGGGCCAGGTAGCATACATAAGACTGGAGCTCATCTCCCTGAATACCAATCAGCATTTGCATATCCCAACAGATGGCTCGTGGTATGGGTTCTCCAGAGCGAGGAGGCTCCAATTCGTTTCCAGTCCATTAAACAGATTGCCAGAGCCTCTCACACCTGGAACTTTAAAGTTATCGGTGGGGATTTACAGGACAGGAGAAGCAGCTAGAGGTTAAGAGAGAGAACAGAAAGGGGTAAGATGCTGCTTGAAGAAAAACACCAACAAGGGAAGCCATGGAGAGGATAACCAGGAAGCAGCCAATAGACAGCAAATCTCACTCCCAGCGATGAAGCAGATGGAGGCATTAGAAAGTGGAAGGAAGTCACCTGAAATCAGTCTGCTCTCTGCAGTACATTAGCGAAATCCCTGGAGAAGGGATTGGAGGGTAGCTTTGCCGCCTGATCTTGTCTTGCAGTTTTCTCTACCATTGGTATCACAAGGCAGAGAACAAACAGCACCCCCAGACCAGTTTGCCAACTCATTTTAATCCTGCTCTGCACTGTCACACCATCCTGTTGACACGCCTCCGCGCTGACCTGCTGGTCCCACAGCTATTCCAGTCCCACACAGCTCTGCCCACTCTCCTACATCTTCACCTGCAGTCCTCTGTAGCACTTTATCCCCTTGTTGCTAACCATCTCACACTAACTCTGCCCGTACATTCTTACTTTGGGGCTCAGTGGTTGTCAGCATGCAGAAGGTCATCCTTCTCCTTTGACCTTCACTATGTTTCTTTTTGCTGTTTGACTTTCTGCAAGAAAACTTTAATTGCTTGAGAATCCCTTATCAATCCCAATGATTTTATTCATGATTTCCTGTTAATCCTCAACCAACTGTCATGTTTACTAACCTGCAGGATGCCTAACCCCTTAAATCAGTCAATCTTCCTTGAAGAATTACTCAGGAAGCTCTGTAAAAGTCAATAAGTACATAAAACATGACAAGAAGTAGGAGAGTCAGGGAGTGTAAGGTAGGGACAGTTTGGATCAGACTCAGAGCTTCACCAAACTATTTACAGGCGGATGAAATTGGACTAGATCGAGGGATTTATAGCTCTTAGCATTCAGTGCTTGAAGTCTAAACTTTCTATGTCAATGTCAATAGGGACAAGGGAAAAATAAGAAAGCACTGTAGGTGGAGCTGCTTGGAGAAATTGTTTTAAGAAAAAAAGAATTCTCATCAAGTGTTTTTGCAATGTTTTCCTCACATCTTTCAAGACAGACTTCCACATTTGGATCCAAGCTCCACAGGGACCAGGACACACAACCATCCCGTGCCTCAGTTGTATCACTGCATGAAAAGCATGGAGGAAGCTGGGCAAAATAATTTCACTATTTGTTTCCCCTTGTGTTTTCTGTAGTACTTATCACCTTTAAGATCAAAACAGTTGCTTTGAAAAGTGAAGCTAAGATAGTCTGTTCTGCAAGGAGGAGATGGAAGAGGCAGGACTACAGTTCCCTCAGCACTTTGATCAAAAGCAATAACAATTATTTGCTGAAGGGGCAAAAAACCCATTCATTTTGTTCCTCCTGTCTGATTTCATTGATTGTCCTCTGCTCACCTGTGTTGACAGAGTTTTTCTTATTTTTTTCTTCCATTTTTTCAGTTGTATAGTCAATAAAGTAAGGAATAAATGAAGGAGGAAGGATGCCAAATTCTCCAGAAGGCAGAATGGAAAAAGGAGGCCTCCCCACCTGTCTGCGTCTGTTGGTATCTCCATCTAGGGATGCACCTGCATGGGCATCTATCTATATTTTGGCACAAATATAGATGGTGGAAATGAATCCTACAGGTATAAGCAGCACTGCACAGATTTGTAGGCAGCAAGAAGCAACCCCTCCTGAAGTGAATATGCACGATCCGTGTGGTAAGTGGTAAAATATTCTATGCCTTTTGACTCTTTTGCTGCTATTCTTTCATTAGTCCCTTTCCTTCTCCCTAGACATGGCCAGTGTTAAGGAAATGACCGTTCTCCTCCAGCGAAGCTTTCAGAAGCGCCCAGGGATGGTGCTTCCTATTTTGATTCATATTTGGTCTGTTTTCCTAATCTTATTCTGGCATCTCTGACAGGGGGGCATTGTCTTCATCACCTTCCCAAACTTGTCACTGGCATACTATTTTCTTGCCAAGGGTTTCAATTCTGCCCAAGTCTGAGATGTGTGATAGGGGAGTGCTCAATGTCTTCTTAGTTTCTCGTGCTTCTAGAACCAACCCTCCACTTCTGGCTTCCAGGGCAGTGCTGCTAATCTGCGAAAGTTTAAGCACTGCAGCAGAGAGTATCTGGCCTGAATAATCTGTGAGGTTAGCCAAAAAAAATTGACATGGATGCACACTCAATGTGTGGGAGCACCAAATGGTTAAGGATGCATCTAAATTAGCAAGAGTATCACACTACAAAGAAATCCCTAGTTTTGACAGAATTTTGATTTTGTTTTGGGACAAGAACAGCCTCTAAAGGCAGGGTTTCAGTCTAGCAGATAAAAGTCTCATGACTGCCAGTGTTTCTGTGGACATTTTTGAAGCCCTCCTCACATTCCAGCCCTCTTTGAAGTGTTTGCCAGGAACAGAGGGATCACTGGAAAGTGTGCAACATATTTAATCACAAAACTGAATTACAATCAACTTTAAATATAATGTACAATGCACTGCTCACCAGGCAGAACAAAGAGGTATTTATCTTTCAATCTGCTTAAATCTCTTCGTTGATGCCACTCAGCTGATTCATTATGCCAAGAACATACATTGGTACAGTTTGGAGATAAGAATGCTCCACTAAATTAACTGTATGGCTCCTGGAAGAGTGAAAATAATAAGAAAGTCTCCAACTTCCCCACTCTGCTCTAGTGATTGTCTCTAGGAATAAGAATTGCAAGATATCTCCTAAAGCAAAGAGAAAACAGCTATTGTATTCAGTCGTTGAGAGGTCATTTTAGCTAAAGATTAGCATGAGGGTTCCCTATAGAAACAAAATGAATTGTCCCCATGGAGAAACAATCACCCATCCAGTGCTGGGATGGATTCAGACCCAGTGAGCTCTCCAGTTCCAGCAAGAAGGTGGTATTAGCTCAACTTGTACTGGAAGTCAGAAGAATCCTGTAATTGTGCTGCTGTAAACTTCAGAGTCCAGGAATTTATTTAAGCATTTAGGACAACTACTAGTGCCATGTTTTCTTAGACCAGGAATCAGCCATGAGCTTAGTTGCAGCACAAGAGCAGCTCATTCTTTGTACTCCAAAATATTTCAGTTCCAGGTGTTGGCCAATTCAGTGGCAGTCATACAAACTGTATTATAATATGGGGATTCTTCTCCAATTTACCATTGTTACACTGTTGATATGTAAAAATTAAGAGAAAGACAACCCCTTCAGAAACTTTTAAACTAACCCCAGAAAGAAATCTATTTTCAAAAAGGCTTCCTTTTCCTCCTTTATTTTTCAGTTTCACAGCATCTTCTGGTTGGAACACAAAAGACAGCTGGAAATCAACAAGAAATAGGTTTTGCACAAAATTTCCAGCTTTACTTTTCTGACCAAAGTGGTTTGAAAGGGTTCAAATAAGGATGCTAGAATTTGGAAGACTTCCTCAAATTCAGCCACTGAATTTTCTGAAGCCAGATCATCACTGGAGGCACAAACACTGCCCATGCCAAGACAAAGGCAGTGAACAATTGCTATTAAGGATGTCAACAGAGAATAATGCAGCTCCTTGACACTTTGTTTCCACTATACCCACCCTGAGGAGCAAAACACTGAGAAACTGCCATGCTCCAGGAGATGAAACCAACCTTTTTCTCTGGAGCACCGAGTTACTTTCAGTTTGGGATATGTCCAGGAAGAGCAGTCTTGGGGAAGGGAATATAGAGGACATTCAAAAATACTTCACCCCCTCCATAAAGTAGCTCTTCTCAAAGAGATAAAAATACAGAATCAAGACTATATGCATTCT